CGGGCAACGTTTGACTTGTCCCAACTTGAGCTTCATCTTCAAGCGGTTTAATTGGAGCTGTTTTTAATGTTTTAATTCTTGCAAGTGGAAAAACAAGTTCCTTGTCGCAATGAGCTTGGTCTACCGCTTGTTTGCCTTTCCACTTTGGATCAGGAGGTGTGTCAACATCGCTGTGGTCAGCCTCTTCTACAACATCTTGTCTCTTCAAGTAAAACTTCGCATCTGCAAAGTACGACTCCGCTCTCATGTATTGGTGCCAGGATGAGGGGACTACTCCGTTCTCATGTATCCAAGGTCGGCCTAACAACAAGTTGTAAGACGTCCTTGCATCTATCACATAACATATTGTACTTGAGTTCAATGTTTCGACCCTGAGATCGAGTTTGATGGTACCTAGTGCCCTTTGTCCACCTTGATTAAAACCTTGAATCATTAGGCGACTTTGAGAGAGCTCGTCAGTAGAGATGCCAAGTTCTTTCATAGCTCGGAGTGATATAATGTTCACAGCCGATCCTTGATCAATCAAAATCCTTTTGATTCTTCACTCGCGGGCATAGCGTTTTACGAACAGCGGGCGATTGTGTGGTGTACCGCCAAGCAATAGATCTTCATCTTTGAAAATTATATCTGTAGTGTAAGACGCGGCTTTGCGAGTGTAGAGCTCGTTTCTTCCTTCAATCAAGGGGAATGAAGATTCTCCCACTTCAACATGTTCTTCATTGGTATTCAAGCAAGTTCCAAGAATGTCTGTTCTACTCAGGAGAAACCTCTTTGGCATGTATCGAGCTAGGGTAACTGGTGCCCGTGGCTTGTTGGAAAGTCGTTTCTTCTTCGAGTCATGGACGGTGTCCCTTGCCGACCTCTTCTCAACCCATTGCTTTGTCATTTCCTTTAATGGTCTAATATGACTAGCAGGATCAACATGTAATGGTTTTAAACACTGGACACCAGCATGCTTTACTCTAAATGGAAGTGTGCATTTATGTTGCTTGCCCCCATTATTCTCCTTATCTTCTATAAGTAATGGAGCAAACCACCCACATGAAATTTGGTTTGTGCTTGCGCTAGCATCCGCAAGCTCTATCTTTCCATCACGAGCAAGCCCCATCACTTTATCCTTAAAGACGAAGCATTTTTCAATCCGGTGTCTGAGGAGACGATGATACTTGCAATAGTTGAAGCCATCCACCCTAGAAGCTTTTTCGGGGCGCTTCATCTCAGGCAACTCAATTAATTTGAGTTTCAGCAACTCGTCAAACATAGGAGAAACGTCAGAATCCAAGAATGGATATTGTTTCTCCTGCCACTCTTCAACAATTATTTTTCTAGCTCCCCTTGATGGGCCAGGGAATGATCTTTGCTTGGGCTTCTCAACCACTTTGGTGAAAACCCGCATTGGTCCTGTCATCACGTTCATCGTCTCTTTCTTCTCTTGCTTTGGAAAAAACATACTCCAATTGTTGAGATCTTGGTTTGTAGGTGCCTTTGATGAGCTGGGCATACTTGACATGCTTAGTCCCCCATTAGCTTCAATACTCAATTCCATGTCATGAGCACGACTGGATAGTTCTTCAAATGTTCCAGGCTTGATTCCCTGCAAGATATAAGAGAGCTCGAAGTGCATCCCTTGGATGCACATTTCAATTGCGAAGCTTTGTGATATCCTCTTTTTACAGTTAAGGCATAACTCCCTCCATCTCTCGATGTAAGCGCCCGCACGCTCACCCTTCCATTGGTGGGTAGTGGTGAGTTCTAAGAAGCTGACAGTCCTTCTTGTGTTGTAGAAGCGGGTCAAGAACTCGCGCTCCATATCATTCCCGCTATCAATGCAAACTGCTGGAACATGAGAACAGAGTAGCTACTGAAGTGCCTCCGGGATTCAAACAGCATAGCCTCCGGGATTCAAGTGGCGCGTGCCTCCGGAATTTAAACGACGTAGCTTCCGGGATTCAAGTGGCGTGACTTTCAACAACGAACGTCAAAAATTTAGAAATGATTAACCCTGCAATGGATTCAAATTGCCTGCAAAATATTCAAAAGATGCCTTCAAGTCTTCAAGCGTTCTTCAATGCTTTCAAGCTCTTCAAATGCTCTCAACTCCTCAAGTATTCAAGTTGTTCAATGCCTTCAAGCTCTCAAGCCTTTAAGTTGTGTTTTGGAATGAAAATGAAGGCCCTATTTATAGTAAGAGCCTAACCAATATTCCTCAACAACCTCCCCTTTTTAATTAATTAATTAATTAATTATTTATTTAGGGAAATGAACCTTGCCCAAAATAAAGTCCAGGTTCATTATTGTATAATCTAATTCAAATTCAAACTAAATTATAATTATTTAATTCAAATATAATAAAATTAATATTATATTTAAATTATAATTATAATTCAAATTCAAATATGAAGTGGGCTTGGACCAATTAATTAATTCAATAGCCCAACATCAAATTTAATTGGACTCATTAAATTAATTTAATTATTACGACCCAATTAATTAAATTGGTCCAATAATCAATCTCGACGCCGGCCCAATAATAATTTTGCCTGTCCATTTATCGGGTTCAAATTTTCTGTGTTTACACTTTACACACGCCACACAATCGTCCACTATTTGTTGAAGGCTATACCCGTGGGCAAAAGCTCAAAAGAATTATGGTTGATCAAGGCTCAGCTGTCAACATCCTATCCCTTCGAGCTGTGAAGGGCCTTGGTGTATCTACAGATGAGCTTGCTCAAAGTCGCCTAATGATACAAGGCTTCAACCAAGGAGGGCAAAGAGCAATTGGCATCATCAGGCTTGACTTAAGAATTGGAAGCCAAAGTTCAGGTGTCCTTTGCCATGTCATTGAAGCGAGGACATCTTATAACTTGTTACTTGGAAGGCCGTGGATACATGAAAATGGGGTGGTACCCTCGTCTTGGCATCAATGCCTCATGTTTGAAAAGAACGGCGTAGTTGAAAAGGTAGTCGCTGATGAAAGTCCTTTCACAGAGGCTGAGTCTTACTTTGCAGACGCAAAGTTCTACATTAAAAGGCAAGTTATTGTTGAAGATGTCAAGGAAATCAATGACGACCCACCTTCCCAATCAAAGTCAAAGGGAAAGCAAGTTGTAGAGGGGGATCAACACATAACAAAACTCATCTTCCCGCTTGCAAGGATTGATACACTCAAAGCAAATGCAGCAAAATCATCTGAAGACAAAGGTGGTGATAAAGTGGGCCAAATATTCCCCGCCAAGCGTACTAAGGGGTTCGACCCTAATGCTTATAAGCTTTTGGCCAAAGCTGGCTATAACCCCAGCGAGCCACAGAAGTTGGGAAAGGTTATCCCAGAAGCTGGTGGTAAAGGCAAGGCAAATCACCAAGAACCTCAAACGCGCAAAGGGTTGGGCTATGTCCCCCCTAAACCAGTGCGAATTATTATAAACAGGGCTACAAGTAATTGTATCTCCGCGGATGAAACTGAGTACGATCCAAAACTCACTCATGTCAATGATAATGGGCAAGCCAAAAAGAAGTTAGTCTTCGACCGGATGGGAAAGGCGGACTCTCGACGCTCAGTCTTTGATAGACTGGGGTCAAGTCCTAAAGCCCTAAAGAGAAAGTCAATACATGATCGACTTGGAGCTATCCAAGACAATACCCATCTTCCTGTTGAAATGGAGCCTTCCAAGAGGCTTAGAAGCATGATTCCTTCTCGGATGAGACGGGAAACATATATTCATGTTTCATGTGGTGAAGTGTTGAAAGTCCAACCGAAGATCATTGTACACACTCGTGTACATAAAGAAGAAAATGAGGAAAGCGTAGGCTCAAGTGATTACGTACCACCAACTACTCAGGAAGAGGTGGCATCATCGTTCCATATCACTTTATGTGATGAGATCCCGATTAAGGGAGAAGATTCAGAAGAGGCACCCTATGAGTAAGAAGAAGGGGTACGAGGCGCAGTGGATGAATTGAAAGAAGTTGACCTAGGAACTCCTGAAAATCCTCGTCCAATATTCATTAGCGCACTCCTTTCCGACGAGGATGAAGAAATCTATGGCATATTGCTGAAAGAATATATTGATGTCTTTGCATGGACATACAAGGAGATGCCAGTGTTAGACCCAAGGGTAGCTGTGCACTGCTTGGCAATGAAAAATGGGTGCCGTCCAGTCAAACAAGCTCAACGGCGCTTTCGCCCCGAGCTCATTCCCTCGATTGAAACAGAAGTCAACAACCTTATAGACGCTGGCTTCATTCGTGAAGTTAAATACCCAACCTGGATATCCAGCATTGTGCCTGTGCGCAAGAGGAACGACCAGATCCGCGTGTGCGTTGATTTCCAGGATCTCAATGTTGCATGCCGGAAAGACGACTTCCCGCTTCCTATCAGGGAGTTAATGATAGATGCCTTAACTGGACATGAGATCCTGCCATTCATGGATGGTTCCTCCGGTTACAATCAAATCCGCATGGCGCTGGAAGATGAAGACTTAACTGCATTCCGAACGCCGAAAGGCATCTACTGTCACAAAGTAATGCCCTTTGGTTTGAAAAATGCAGGTGCTACATACCAAAGGGCTATGCAGACAATATTTGACGATATGCTTCATAAAATGGTCGAATGCTACATAGGTGACCTGGTTGTGAAGTCGAAGTTTCGCACAAATCACTTGGTGAATTTAAGGCAAGTCTTCAACCGCCTACGGAAGTTTCAACTGAAAATGAGCCCCTTGAAATGTGCTTTTGGGGTTGCTGCTGGAAAGTTCCTCGGGTTTACTGTTCGACACAGGGGCATCGAGATTGAACAAGCCAAAATCAACACCCATAATGAAGATGCCTGAGCCAAGAAACCTTCATGAGCTTAAAAGCTTACAAGGGAAGTTCGCTTACATCCGAAGGTTCATATCAAACCTAGCAAGAAGATATCAACCTTTTAGTTGGTTGATGAAAAAAGGCATCCCATTCATATGGGATGAGGCATGCCAGAACGCATTTGAGAGTAGTCATACTTGATGAAGCCGCCTGTGCTAACCGCTCCTGTTCATGGTTGCCTGCTGATCCTTTATATCTCCGCCCAAGACAGTTCTGTGGGCACCTTGCTTGCTCAGGAAAATGACAGGGGGAAAGAGAATGCCCTCTACTATCTTAGTAGAATGATGACCCCGAGCGAGATAAAGTACTCCCCAATTGAAAAGCTATGTTTGGCACTGGTATTCGCCATCAAAAAACTTAAGAACTACTTTGAGGCTCATACCATCCGGCTTGTTTCCAAAGCAAACCCGGTAAAATATGTTATGGCGAAGGTCGTTCTCTCCGACCGCCTTGCAAGGTGGTACTTATTGTTTCAAAAATTTGAAATCATCTATGTGCCGTAGAAGTCTGTCAAGGGGCAAGCCTTAGCTGATTTCCTAGCAGATCACCCAATACCTGCTGAATGGGAGTTGTCTGACGATTTACCTTATGAAGATGTACTTGTCATTGAAGTCCTACCCCCATGGAAGATGTACTTTGATGGAGCTTCACATAGAGAAGGGGCAGGTGCTGGAGTTGTCTTCGTCACTCCAGAAGGCGAGGTGTTGCCATATTCATTCACCTTGACCGAGCAATGTTCAAACAACGTTGCTGAGTACCAAGCATTGATACTTGGGCTCGAAATAGCGGCTAACATGAAGCAACTGAGAATTAACATTTATGGAGATTCAAAGTTGATCATAAACCAATTGTTGGGTCTATATATGAAGTGAAAAAGGCGGAGTTAGTCCCATATAACAACTATGAAAAGATACTCATGCAATGGTTAGGGGACGTCACAATTGAACATGTACCGAGGAAAGAAAACAAGCAAGCTTACGCCTTAGCCGCATTGGCTTCAACTATTGCTCATCCTGCAGCCCGAGTACAAGTATGTCAAAGGTGGGTAGTTCCGCCAATCTTCAATGAAGACGACTCAGTTGATGAAACTATTAAACTCCCTACTGCCTCAGTTTATGATATAGGCAAGGACGACTGGAGGCAACCACTGGTTGACTACCTCACTGATGGAAAGTTACCCGAAGAGCCGCGTAAGAGGGTGGATATAAAGCATCGAGCTCCTCGCTTCATCTACTATAAAGAGACGTTGTATCGTCGTTCATTCGAGGGAGTCTTTCTCCGATGTCTAGGGGAAGAGGAAGTTTTACAAGCTATGCAAGAAGCTCATTCTGGGGTTTGCGGTGCACATCAATCGGTCCCAAGTTACATTTCCATATTAAGCGAATGGCCTGTTATTGGCCTACAATGGTAAAGGATTGCATAGATTACGCTCGAAGGTGTCGAGCTTGTCAATATCATGCAAACTTTATCCATCAACCACCAGAACCTCTACACCCAACAGTTGCATCTTGGCCATTTAATGCTTGGGGACTTGATGTGGTTTGCCCAATTACGCCCGAGTCATCTGCAGGGCATGCATACATACTAGCTGCCACTGACTACTTTTCAAAATGGGCAGAGGCCGTCGCATTGAAGGAGGTGAAGAAAGAAAATGTTACAGACTTTCTTTGTGTCCACATCGTCTATCGATTTGGTATCTCACGATATATCTTCACAGATAACGGGAAACCCTTTGACAATAAGTTGAGGGACAAGATCTGCAAGCTTTTTGACTTCAAGCAGCGAAACTCGTCTGGCTTACTACCCAGCTGCAAATGGGCTTGCTGAAGCTTTTAACAAGACCCTATGCAATTTGTTGAAGAAAGTGGTCTCAAAATCAAAAAGGGACTGGTATGACAGAATGGAAGAAGCTTTGTGGGCGTATAGAACCACATACCACACACCTACTCAAAGCACTCCATACTCTTTGGTGTATGGTGTAGAAGCAGTGTTGCCTCTAGAGCGCCAAATACCTTCCTTAAGGTTGGTTATACAAGAGGGCCTTACTGACGAAGAAAATGGTAAGTTACGCTTGGCTGAGTTAGAAGCCTTGGATGAAAAACGTCTACAAGCGCAACAAAGCTTGGAGTGCTATCAAGCTCGCATGTCTAGAGCTTTTTACAAAAGGGTAAGGACCCATTCCTTTCAAATTGGGGACAAATTCCTAGCTGTTCGCAGGCCCATCATTGTCACAAGAAAATTCGGCCACAAGTTCACTTCAAGGTGGGATGGTCCCTACGTGATTCTAAAAGTTTACACCGGTGGGGCTTACAAGCTAATTAGTGAAGATGGCTTGAAAATCGGTCCAATTAATGGAAGGTTCCTAAAGCTTTACCACCTTTAAACTTGGGGTGTTAGCACAAGTCGTGGAAATATGATAAACGACTCATCCACCAAAAATGCAGCACGTGGTTAAACTGCTAATGCATCTCGCTTTGTCTATGGGTGTGCCCAAATCATAGATGCTCCTAGCCCGCATGAGTCTAAACTGTGAACGGCTCTCTACTTTGTAAAAAAAAAAAAAATCATTTGAACTACGTTTGACTTGATCTCCTTCATAGGAGTACATAGGCAGCTTAGAATCAAATTATCTAAGTTCAATCATAACAAAAACAAATCCAATTGATGTTACAAGAGTGACGTAGAAGGACAATCATTCAACATGTCAATGCAAAGATGTACGAGTGATTGCTAAAAAAAAAAAACAAAAAGAAAAAAACAAGCGCAAAAATGAGAAGCTTTCAATTATCAAGAATTGAGGAAAGAAACAACAACAGTCTTGCAACCAAAAAGAAAAAAAATGACTAAAGGAAAAATAACATCAGTCGATGAAAAGCCTAAAGCTAAGCATGTCATCTTTACATGCCTCCAAGCTTCTCTTGGCCTCATTCAAGCTCTCCCCATCTTCTGGAGTCATCAGAGTCAACCCTTGGATGAGAGAGACTTCTACCTTGGCATTTGAGACTGAATTCTCAATAGCCTCAGAAGCGATAGAAGTGTCATAATCACAGCCATAGGGGCAAACCCTTCATGAAATTTTAAAGGGAAGAAGCTACAGGATACTCCCTGGCACGAGTCGAAACTGCCTCATACCCATCAAGGCTCCTTGACATGACATATTGTCTTTTACAATCTCATGCTGAAGCTAAAAAATATTTTGCCACAAAAATGTTGCGTCACATTATATATATATTTATATATACACATGCGCAAAACTTAAACATTAATTGTGCATTTGTATAATATATTATATATATCATGTACGTGATACACACAAAATATGAAAGCAAACATGGAGTATGTACATATGGGCACCAACATCACCAAGCATATATTATGTACGTACATATGTATATGATCCGCAAAGTGAAAATGCCAAACATATATATATATATATATATATATATATATATAATAGGGTTGCACTCAGGTGTGGCGACCCCTTCCCGTGTGGTCATGTGGCGATTTTCAGAATACACCAATAGTTAAGTAAGAAATACACCATCAACGTTAGGAAATGCACCACAAAAAATGCAAACAAATTAGGTATGTATCACCAACAACACACCATTAAGTGTGAATAAAAACATCATACAATGTTCAGAAATACACCAGTGGGGTTGATGAGTTATATGGAGTACTTTTGGGTCTGTTGTGTATTTTTTGATGTTTTTTTGCATTTCATTGTGGTGTGTCTCCCTTACGCTGTTGGTGCATGTTGTTAACACCGTTGGTGTATTCTGAAATTCCGCCACACGACCACACCTAACAACATGACCATGTGCATTATTCTATATGCTATGAGTGTGTTTCTAATCCCGTTGGAGTTAGGCCGTGAGATTGAGAGAGCCATGAATGCCTATTGGTGGAACTGTGATGGAGAGACAAGTAGGGGTATCTGATTGAAGGGGTGGGAAGCTCTCTATAAACCTAAACCGAATGGTGGGATGGGTTTTCGAAAAATTCGTGAGTTCAATCTAGCTCTTCTTGGTAAGCAAGCTTGGAGAATTATTCAGCATCCTAATTCCCTAATGGCTAAAGTTTACAAAGCAAAGTATTTTCCTAGATCTTCCTTTCTAGAAGCTCAAATAGGTGGAAGTCCCTCCTTTATCTGGAGAAGCATTTTTTAATTACAAGATGTTATAATGGATAATTATAGATGGAGGATTGGGATGGATCTTCTGTTTATATTTGGGGTGACCCTTTGCTGCCAAACTCCAATTCTCCCTTTATTCAAACCCCTATTCCTGTGAATAATCATCTTGTCAAAGTTTCTGATTTACTGACTGAGGATAAATCTGACTGGAATGTGAGTCTGATTGAAGAAAACTTTATACCTGCAGATGTTGAGCTGATTAGAAGCATTCCCATTGCTGTGTTTAAGCCTGAGGATAAAATCATGTGGATGGGTGATGAAAAGGGAGAATACACTGTCAAAAGTTGTTATAGGAGGCTCACAGATTCTGTGCAAAATCATCAAAACCCCTCTTGGACCAAATGTTGGAAATTGTGACTTCCCCCAAAAATTAAGACTTTCTTTTGGCAGGTATGTACTGGTTCCCTGCCTACTTGTGATCAACTAAGGGCTAGAGATGTGGATGTCCCTAACTACTGTCAGCTTTGTAATTTGGAAGATGAATCAAGCTTTCATGTTTTTGTCACATGCCCTTTGGCAAAAGGATGTTGGGATTTATTTGGAAAAAGTCTTCATCATCATTATGTTTCTTTTATGGAATGGATTGATCTGCATTTTAACAACCTCACTGATCTTGAGATATGTAAATGGATTGCTATATGCTAGAAAATCTAGGAAGCAAGAAATGAGAAAGTTTGGAATAACATTGTCTTATCTTGCCATGATGTTGTGACAGGTGCTTTATCTTTCCTCTCGGAATGGCAATCTGTCAATCAACGTATCCTCTCACAAACACAACGGTCAGACCAGATTGAAAGCTGGAAAAAGCCGCCAGGGGGATGGCTCAAACTCAATATGGATGCAGCTCTGGATACTAGCAGCAGGAAGATGGGCATGGGTCTGGTCATACGTGATGCTTATGGTTTGTTTGTGGCAGCAAAGGCTATTCCTTGGGATGGTCTGTGTTTACCTATGGAGGCAGAAGCTATTGCAGTTAGAGAGGCTTTAAAATGGTTAAAGACCCTACAGCTGGACCATGTTCAGATTGAATCAGATTGCATCAAAGTGATTCAAGAAATCAACAATACTAATTTATGTTCTGCTTTTGATTTGATAGTTAATGACGTTAGGGAGATAGCTAGAGAATTTTCTAATCTCAGTTTTCATTTTGCTAAGCGGTCTGCAAACAAGGTTGCCCACGAGTTAGCTCGGGAAGCCGTGTTCAAGTCTGACTGTGTCGATTGTGTTTCGGTTCCTTTTCCTTGTATTACTCATCTTATTGAGCTTGACTGTTATTAATATATGTTATCGCTTTTGTTTCAATAAAATGAGCATTATTAATATATATATATATATATATATATATATATATATATATATATATATATTGTATACATATATATACAGTCGCATGGACCAGTAGTGGAGTAATATATCTACAGTGCATGCAAAGCTTAAAGCTAGCACGTGGGCCACGTATATATTATGTATACATACACACTGCTGCACGAGAACAAGGACAAAGTGAAAAGCAAATATATATTATATATGGTATATGCACAGCATACATACATTATGCATGTGCATATATATTATATATGTATATATGTGCACAAGAGAAATAAAGTGTGCGAGATATATGTACATAATCCATGCAAAGCATATAAGGAAAGCTCATACCTCTGTAGCGGTCTCACAGCGAAGCTTCAATAAACAATTCTTCTCTTGCGAGTTCACGAGCAGCACTGTATTTTCTCCAAGCAATCGGTCCTCCGATGACGATCCTACGGTGCACGACGTACTCCTGAAATATGCTGAAAGCAAAGTAAAAGACTGTAATATTGAGCCTTTCCATTCCAGAGCCTCCTCCATGAATAGCAACGCCCATAGTGGTCCCATCTTCTCCGTCGATGAACCGATGGCAACGCCCCGAAGCACGGGGCTATCCAGTAGCTTTCCTCTCCAAATAGTGTCATTGTCGACAGCAACGTGCCGGAGCACGCACTCGGTGACATCCCAACAATGCGACAGGAATGTGCCGAAGCACGTGCACGGTGAGTATCCGGCTTCTTTCCTCTCCGATGATAGAAGACGTACCTGAGCAACATCCTGAGGTGACATCCTAGCAGTGGTCGACAGTGAGAATCTGACAACGGTGAGAACAGCCCAAGAAAATTAATTCTCGAGTGCTTTTTGTCCAATGTCTCTCACGTGTCTCTTGTTGTTCTTTCCCAATCACAATGGAGGGTGGCGTGAACCTAAATAGTGGTGAAAGTCATTCCGGAAAAATTCAATTTCCTGTGATGTCCAATGCGATGCTAGATCGCCGGCGTGATTCCGTTTCCTTCATCGCTAAGTGTAATGAGAATGGAGGGGCATTGTCCGGTGCCAAGAGTAAATCTAAACAATGGTGGCAAAAGTCCAAACAGTGGTGGAGGTCATTCCGAAAAAATTAATTCTCAAAAGGTTCCGGTCCACTGTTGGTGAAGATAGCAAGCCAAGCAAAGGTAGAAACAAACCCGAAAAAAAAAATCGATTTTCAGGTGTTTCTTTTCCAATGCCTCCGTTCTTGATTCCTTTGGCTTCATCCTTTCTAATGAAAACTGCAGAGTAAAGGAAGAAATACATGCATACTTATATGGTGCATATATTA